AGCCGGACCTTCGTGGTTTCCTGACGCTATGTCATTTTCCGAGCATCGATCGAACCCCGGCGGGGAGTTCTCTCATAGGTCCCCTATCACAGAGCCAATGATCAGAGCTCGGAGGTCATACAGCTAATAACTTCGGCAGGAGATGGAGGTCAACTAACAGTCATCTGGGGCTGGAACAATTGGGTCTTCATTGGGGAAACCCAGAGGCTGTGCCTGTTCCCGAGAGCACGAAGGAATTACAGTCAAGGTCAGACAAACTCCGGCTATATGCCAGAGATACACGACCTATGTGCAGCCAGTGGGAAAGCACGAATATATTCGTATGATAGACATTTCAACCGTTGAAGTCTTGGAATGTCTTGGAATATTATGATCAAAACAGTTAAGGCTTAAAATTGATAAATATAAGATTCGTGCGATTTACATCTTATATGTAATGAAATGAACAGGTTTATATTTTGGTGGAAACAACATGCCCAATGATTATTGATGCGGTCATTGGTCAGTTTTGTTGGTCCTACTTTCAAACAGCACGTGAAATGTGATGACTTTGTTAGCCATCAAGACCGACCACGGCCAATTATCGCCCGACCGCGGCCAACTATCGCCCGATCGCGGCTAACTATCGCCCAATCTGCCCAACATCTACCGATCAGACCATTCCTATCTTCCAATCAGATCACTCTCATATCCAAATCGCCCCGGGTGCCGCCGACCGATCGCGCCTGACCCAGTGAAAGTGAAACACCACTGCTATTCCACTCTCTCTTCCCGCCCTTGCAGCCAGGTCGTGGGAGAGAGCATCAGCAGGGGGCTGAGGTCGCTGATCACTCCTGTTCCCCACCCACTCGCGTCAGGTCACCCAGGTCACCAGGTTACCGAGGTCACCGCAGAGCGTGACACTGTGTCATCAGGGTCAGCGCAAACCAACGTCTGTTCGCTGATGAGTTTTGCTTACACCGAGTGTCAACTCTCAAAGAGATGAGCCTCAGCTCCACAGAAAAGTTATGTTTTATAATTTGTCTGCGAAAAGTGGATGAACGGAAAGGCTGAAGTTCATCCAAACGAGGCAAACTAGTTAGGGAGATTAATTATTCTCCTGACATATTCAATGGTAATCCCACTAAGTAGTCACTGTCACTCCAGCATCCGCGGCCGTAAAATTCGAACGAGTCTGTGAACAACATTTCCAGGTAGATAGCCACTTAAATATTCAACTAAAGCTACTGACAAGAGCAATGTTTTCTCATCTAGTCCACGAATGCTCCAGGCCTAATGCGGTCCTTGAAATCGCCTTAGTGTCTGAACATCTCAGGCAAAGGCACCGAGGCGACTACACAGGCGAGTTGCCAGGTCGTCCAGCCATCGAGGTCGTCGGACCGTCGAGCTGTCTAGTCACTGAGCCATCGCCCTGTCGAGCCGTCGAGAGTTGGAACCCCAGCCCGCTCTTATCAGAGACCCAGCCGTCACAATGTCGAGTTGCTAAATGTCGGAACAGACGGCATGTTTGGTCCCTGAGCTGGTTGACTTCATGGCACCATCCAACCCGAACACTCGTGGTTGGTTTGTCTGTATTGTAATATCATCATACGGCGGACATGGCGTGACAAATTTAGCCCTCACTGAATACAGATTTATTAAATGATTGACCCGATCGTCATCCCTGGCTAGATGGCGCTCAGTCAGCCAAAAAGCTGGCAATCGCCTTTCTGACAGTAAATTCCGAGAACTCATGCATCAGAAGTGATCTTCTGTATACCAGGATGCATTTAGGACCAATCAAGGACTCTCGCCCAACCGATGCACGTGCCGGTCGCTTCATGGTAAAAATGCAACGGTTCGTGTTCGATCTGCGAAATTCAGCCGAGCTCAGAAACGGCAATAGCCAGTGGACTGCTATCCAACGAATGCCAATGTGAAAGCATGAATTCATGATCTCCTTGGGGGTTCGTATGTTATTTATGGCGACATGTCGGCGCCTGAGGCCGACGGCAGAGCGGTGAGCTAGGCAGACACGACTGCCGATCGCACAGAGCATCAGTGAAGACCAGATGAACACTTTCCCGCACCGATCCGATGGGCGGGCCTCACGCAACGGCCCAATGTATAGTTACGAGAGACATGTTGTGCGCAATAGTTTACGGCGGTGGAAGTCATTCTACTTGTACTTTTGGCTCGTATTACAAGGAAGCGGTCACCTACACGATAATTACTCTTTCATGAAAGTCATTACACGTATGCGTTGCAGTGTTCGTTCTTTTCCGGGTGGCAACAGAATTGGTAGCGCAACAGAATTGGCAGCAGAACTCTTTCGAAATAGCTCCTGAATATGCACTGCCAGAGCACGTTCCATTGGGACCAGAATAGAGAGCTCATTATCGAAATTTAATTATCAGGACCCTCCAGTTTCTTCCGGGTCGGCAACTGAGATGACGGTCAAACGCCTTTGTGCCTTTGTGAATCGGCACTGCTGCAAACTAGACCCGGGTGAAGGTAAGTGCGTCGTAAGAAAATGTCTTAGAAAGGAAAGAAAGAATATCATTAGCAAGAAAACAAGAAAAAATCATAAAAGTAGCATTGAGCAATATGTAGGATTCCTTGAACATGAAATTCAGCAATACAAATGTTACATCAGCTCATATCTACCAGAGACTTGCTAGAGAGGACCCATATTGCTGTGCTATAGCAAAAACAAAACAAAAAAACGACGCACCACAGGCGAGCCAAACTTGGGTACCTGTTGTGAATTAATCAAAGTTATGATAAAGTTTAAAAAACCCGCTATAATTTTTTAGATATCGCCCATCGATGCAACCCCATGATACTTAACCTCGTGATCTGTGAGTGACGACAAGCATGTATGTGTTACAGGCAAAGTGAAAACTCGGGCATTTTGCAAAATGCCTAGGCAATTTGCAAAATGCCTGACCCGCCAGGCATTTTGTAAAATGCCCAGGCAGTTTGCAAACTGCCTGACCCACCAGGCATTTTGCAAACTACCTAGGCATTTTACAAAATGCCTGACCCACCAGGCATTTTGCAAAATGCCTGGGTTTTCATATATTCCACCGTTTTTGTTGACTACAGGCTTTGATCATAAGCGTTCCACTGTGACTGACCCTACACATTTCACATGTGTTGTGGGCACATGTGACACATTCCACGGTCACGAATACAGGGTGTCACAAAATTGTTGCAGGATGTTGTACTTGTGTCCCGAAATGTATTGCATCGTAGTTGCGTCAGTGTTCTCCAGCACCTCGCTGACAAGTTATCAGCGGCCACATGGTCTGTCCCCGCGGCACCTGGTGAAGCTCAAATAGGCCTCTGTAGCCCATCATGCCCCAAACGAGAATCTCCAGTGCCCAGTGGGTGCTTCACCGTCTCGACGGCGCAGCGCCTCTGAGCTGTTGTTGGCCCAGAACTGCTTGTCGGGACGGTTAGTGACTAAGAAGAGCTCTAATAGCCGTTTTCACGACGGGCTATCCGGTGAGTGCACCTATGTAATTTGACCAAATCTGCACATAACCTCTTTTACAGCAAATATCTTTAGCTTATGAATTTATTTCAGTGTTTTAACCGATGACGCTCTCTGATAATATGGCAAAGGAGGCATATAAGCAATTAGTAAAACCCTAGCTGATGGCTACTAAGAGACACACTGAACCTAATTTGACCAAATATGCACCTAATCTGCACCAGATGTGAACCAAATGTGTACCAGATGGCCGTCGTGAAAACGGCTAATATCGCCTCACGGCCTCATCATTGAAAAGTCTGATACTCTAGTCCTGAATGGTCCAGATTTGGTGGGTTTTGTCGAAATCCAGCTGCATTACTTATGGATGATGGTAAGTCAGGGTTGCAGCCTGAGGTTGAGCGGCTTCAGCTTCAGGGTAAAATCTTCAGATACCGGGGGATGGCCGATTTAAATGCCGACTGCCGAGTGCCCTGGTCCAGATGCCCTGGTGCCGGACCCGTTCAAATTACATCCATTCAGCACTCAGGAGGGACATGGAGGGACAAGACCGCGTCAACCGCGTATCTAGTTCGTGGCACTCTGTATACCTACGTCTTGCGTCAATTCTGTCGAGATGGAGCCAACGCTGAATGGACTTGAGCCACCGTCTCCGTACCTTTCGTATATACGGAGTTGTAGCCGTGTGTATAAAAGCTGCGATGTCCAGTATTCTGCCCTGGTGGGCAACTGTTCCGGCCGCGCGGTTGATAATGTACCTAAACGTGTAACAATCAAATTTTCGTAAATTGGAAGAGTATTCTTTTCTGATCAATATCCACCTATAGTATTTTCAAAAAGCCACCAAGAGCTCCTAAAACAGTATAATCATTGTACCGAGCGCATGTTTACCCACGAAACCACGCCCGGTGCTCGGCACCCGACGGACGCTGGGGCTCAGTGACCTGAACTCGGCGGCGCTACCCGGAGAACGCAGTGTCCCCTCACTTGGTGCGCATGGACAGCGATTAACTTTTGTAAGCGGCAGTTACAAATGATGCTTACCTATACATCGTCGCTAGTGCGAGTTTGATGTCAGGCATTTTGCAAAATGCCTGGGAAAATATTTCAGGCAGTTTGCAAAATGCCTGCTGCAAACCCTAGGCATTTTGCAAAATGACTGGCCGGTCAGGCATTTTGCAAATTGCCTAGGCATTTTGCAAAATGCCCGAGTTTTCACTTTGCCTGTAACATATGCATATGAAAAGCGTTTAATTACGATTTCCAACGGAAGCATGCACGACGCTGGCCTGAAGCCCGTCGCTACCACGATCGATTCGTAGTGTCCACATTTAGTTGCGGAATGAGTGCTGTACGCGGCGACAAGGACAGCCTGGTAAGTCGGACTAATAAAATGACTCACAGGAATAAACTCTCGCCTTGGCGCTCACGTAGCTCTGTAGCTCACGGGTTTGGTGTGTCGTGTAGGACCTGGGCGGAGTTACAGCACACCAACCCCACCCTTCCCCAGTCCGACACTCACCCCCAGGGTCGGCGTTCCCTGCTGGCTGCTGGTGGTCGTCCTGTCGACCTCGTCATCGGGCTCCGAGGCTCCGGGGAGGCTGACCACCGATCGGCGCTGCTGCTGTACGGACGGCGACCGGCTGACCAGGGGCGACTGACCCGGCTGGGGCGAGCCCGGCATCCGGTCATCTGTGGAAGGCAGGACGACGGCGGTCACATACGGGAATCGGCAGAGATACGCAGAGCGGGAAAATCATAGCCGTCAGCAGTTGACGGACAACTAAAAAGTAAGTGCCAGAAACAGATCCCTAACAGATACGAGACACCAACAGATATCGCAAAACGGGGTAGAAACGGAGCATAAAGCTCAAGACAGATGACCTTACAGAGCACCTTACAGAGCACAGCTCAAAACCATATTTGGACAGACTTCTCTTAGATCTAATATCCTTTGCATCGGTCACAGTTCACAGGTCAACGGGATCACACAATGCACCCTCTCCAGCCCACTGCACACATACACCCACCACCAGTCACTCTGCGCATGTGTACCGCCGACATATCGAATAACCCCACCATCCTCGGGACCCGCCCTCAGTCCTTCGACTGCGATCTTCATTCCTCCTACCCACCAGTATCGAGTGGGTCGCAAGGAGGTCTCGGCAGGGTGGTCGGCTCTCGAGGCCGCCCATTAGGCTACAAAGCAAACAGACTCGACCGCACCCGAGCATAATGGCTCACCGAAAGCCGTCGGCCGCCCCGTGTTCAAAGGGATGTCTCTTTGAGGCGTAATGGAGTCAGCACTCTGTTTGATGGGCTTAGCACTGTGAAGTGCATTGATGTATATTACCGTCAGTAGAATGCGTGAGGCTGCATGTAAAGGGTTATTCCAAAGATGATGTTGCGAGCATTATCAGCCTAGTTGTATCAACAAGGAAAACGACGTGCGGAAAACACAATAACTAGGGTTAACGTGAATTAAAATGAAATCGGACTTACTCCACAAGAGTTCGTTGGGTCGACCCAACGAACCAACGAACTCTTGTGGAGTAAGTCCGATTTCATTTTAATTCACAATTCATCTCCACATCATGTCTTTAAATGTAGGGTTAACGTGATATTATATTTGGCGTGTCACATGCATAAATCTTTGTATTCAAGCAATTTTCTCTTTCTCTGCAACAGCCAACTTGTGGCGCTTTCTTGCCTCACTCGTGACCACTACACCACTATGATAGCGTGGCCTGCCTTACATATTAACTCACCGACCATGACCTGTCCTGTATAAGTCGCATCGGTCGATGTCAGCCTCATGCCACCGTGCGCTAATTACCTGCACAATCATAATCCGCCCGGGCCGCGGCGGCGACGGCAACGTCTGCCTCTGATCCTGAACGACTTCCGGAGACCTACGACCTCCACAGCGCTGCCCGACGGCTGGTTTACTGCTCGGTCACGCAACGGACAGTCCGCCGTCACCCCCCCCCCTGCGTAGGAGCGGGGGGGGGGGTACTCTATTGACCCCAGTCCCGAGCGAGGCTGGATCCTTCCGTCAACACCAGACATAAAAGACGGGTCGCTAGAACTAGGACGTAATGGCCAGAAGTTGGTTGGCGAATGGTCTCCCAATAGTGGGTTTCAGACCACATGCGTATGCCGGGTATTTTATTTGATTAATATCATATTGGTTATGCTGTGCTACCTTGCGATTCTCTCCACATCAAAATCAGTCATTTCATCGGCTGAAAGGCGTCCCTTTTTAAATGCTTTTTAAAGGCGTCCCTTTTAAAATGCTTCATCACACGGCACACCACGCATAAACCTCGCCAGGCGGGAGCTTTGCGTCCCAGGGCACAATTTCAGACATTTACTGCCGACACCATCTATGAACAAAACTAGAAGTTGATCCATCAATCACGCCCAGGCTCGGCAGCGCGGCGCTCCAATAGGAGTTACAACCCCATAAACTTCAACAGGTCGGAGTTTCTAGCTCTGCCTGTCCTCCGTGGAGCCGACGGTATCAATGCCGTAGCGGTATCTTCAGGAGGATAGAACTTCCTTTCTCAGGGCGCTCGTTATCTCCAGTCATTATTTATATGCTGTTAGCTCTGACTTAAATTGTGATAGTGGTCGGATCGCCACCGGATCGATCAATCTATGTATGTAGAGTACGGACCTCCATCATCTTTGATCGCTGTTTTGGTTCGGACATAAGAGCTTTCTCACCCATGAATAGAGATTGAACCACGACCCATGAAATTCAACAATGATGAAACGGTATAAAAGTGCATGAATGAAAAAAAATGGATAGATAGAGAACATAGCAAAATATTGTCGTTTTGAGACTATTTAATTAAGCGTATCTGGCCGGCGTTCGCTGAGCAGTGAGCCATCGTGGCAATATTCAATGAGACACTCAAATTTCGCAAAGATTAACCTCATTATCCAAAAATCTTTGTTTTCCTGTCGGGAAAGTGCATACTTTCACATTCTGCTCAGCAATGATTGTCATCTTACAATCAAATTAGGGAACAGCTCAGGCCAATTTCCAAAAGAGCAGCATGCTCGAAAATAACATGTTTTCAGTCGCCTGTACAGCTCTCTCTGTGAAGCCCACTGGGGAGTGAAAGACGCCTTTGACAACCATTTGAAGAAACCGGTCACAGCGGTGCCTACAAACAAGAAGCGAAAAAGTAGTTGACAGTGGAGCTTTGACTTTAACTGACAACACTAAAAGGATTGGACAATCAACAAGGGCCGTGGAAAGGCACCCAGTGACGGAGCAGACATGATTTGGAAAGACGCACGGCGACGTTACATTGGATACATTTATATGATGAACGTCGAGGTCAGTTATCCGAAAAAGTGGCATCAAGTGGACCCATTGATATCATGTATTTGCCCGAATCAATATACGATTCTCTCCTACCAAGCACACGCGGAGCGACCGATCGGTCAAAAGACCCATCGGTCTGAGGGCTGACCGATCGCGCGGCCTTGGAGATATCGCTCTGACCTGCTGACCGATCACAGATGGAGGGGACGCAGGTAGAGTGGCCACAGCGACCCCAGGTGACCTGCAGTGAGTAATCGGCGTACGTACAGGGGGCGATAGGCAGCATCGATCGACGTTACCGATGGGACGTAATACGTGGGTGTTGTAAATGTGGCTTTAAAACAGCCCAGGAAACGGATCGGAGAAAGCACTAGAGAAAGCCGAGCAGTCAACCTGCTGGAAAACTTATGAAACAGTTGTTGGTAAGTATACTAAGTAAGGACTTGCGCATATCCTGAGAAGAGAGATAAGAAATTCAATAACCTCTAACATCGATCCTTGTAGTCACTTTTCCAGAAAAAAAACTGATCGTCTAAAAAAATATAAAAGCCATTAGGTGAAACCGTGACTAGGATTGAGAAAATCTCTATAAAAGGGTGGACATCAATGGCCAAAATCATATGAACTTCGATTCATTCCTTGCCTCTTCTATCGCCATCCGAACACCGAATCCCTTCAGGCCATCAACATCATTTTCTACTAAAGCCCATCATGAAACCAGCGGAGACATGTGGGCTTTGCTGAAGAGACCCGACATAAATCGCTGCTTGTCCATTTTTCACCGCCACACCTCCTGCTGCGGCCGAGTCAGTCCATCACGTTTAGATACAATGGTCAAATTCCTGTCTGACCACTCTGCTACAGCGTGCCGTCAGGGTTCCCTACTCTGTCATCATCGCCGGTTATCGTGGGCTCATAACTGACCACCGCCCCCGCAGGGCGCCGGGCGCCAGCTGCGCGGTAGGAGAGCCACGGCAGCTTGCCGGTCGAGCCTCGGCAGCTCGCCGAACGAGCTCAGGCAGCTCGATAAAGCGGCGGGGGCGGAGGCGAGACCCTCAGCTGAGGAAGCTGTGCGGCGCGCACCATCCATCTTGAGGAGGGTGGCGTTGGAGAGCTTCATGGCACAAACGTCACCGTGGACGTACTAAAGCGACAACATAATCCGCGCAGAAGCACAGGTTTGTGGCTTCTTTGTGCTTTCAATTTGAGACTGAAAGCGGTGGAAATGAATAACTGCTCACCTAAAAATGTCACAGACCACCATACAGTTAATTAAAAGCAAATTGATTGAGTGGATGTAATATTGTGTCGCTATTATTCATAGACAAACCCAGCTAAGTAATGAATACATTCACCATTCTTCTGATACACCGAATAACATATGGCGAAGGCCGGCGCGGTCGCCGGCCAGGCCATGTCATCTCGGCTGGATCTGACTCCGTATCCGCCGCCGTTTGTCAGGCTCATGGCGGACTGATCCTCTAGCCGCGTCGGACCAACGGGAGAGCCGGAATGGGACGAGGCAGGGCAGAAAGAAACGCGAAAGGCCGCGGGGAAGGTCGATGGACTGATTGGGTCACATAGCGGCACGACATTTCCGATAACTTTGCCGGAAAGATCGACCCGGACCGGGGTCAAGCGGGTTGAGCGGCGACCTTCTGGCTCGAATCGAATGGGATCTGGTGAAAATAATAACAGGACTGGGTTGGTCTGGGTTAGGTTGTTTTGGGTTGGATTGAACTAGCCACTGGATTGGACTGAATCTTTCGGCACGAACCTGTCTAAATCGGCTCTCCGCTCGTCCGTGCCCAATTCCACTGGGTGAGGCCGTCCAGAGCCCATCTTTGCCAGCCTAGCTCGGCTCAGCCCATTTCATCAGCACGGTTTATCCCTCTCATCAGAGTGGGTGCTACTCAGCGTTCCGCTGATCCCCGCTGCCGACAGTGGGTAAAAAAACACCCACCGCCCACTGCCCCCACATCCAGAGCAGAGACCGCCGGCGCCGCCGCCGCCAGCCCGCAGCTCTCACAGCCAGACAAGGTCACCGGTCAATCGAGTTGACCTGCTTGGAGGCGGCTGCTCGTCAGGGCCAATCTACCGGCCAGACAACAGCGTCGGCAGGAAATCTCGGAGCACCGGGGTGACGACTAGGTGGATCTCGATCTCGACGACTAGGTGGATTTAAGTTCATGGCTGGCGCCCGTCAGCCGCTAGAAGTCAGCCATCAGGCGTCACTGCGGTCAACTCTCAGCCTACAACCGTCGCCGCCAGCCATCAGTCTCAGGTCGCCAGCCATCAGTCATCGCCCATCAGCTACCAGCCATCATTCTCTAACCATCGACCACCTGCTCCA